GTTGGTGAGGCTGTGCTGGCTGTTGCTGACGTTGAATTGATTGATGGCGTAGTCACGTTGGCTGTTGTTGAGGTGGTATTGGCTGTTGTTGACGTCGAGTTGGCTGTTGGTAAAGTTGTGCTGGCTGTTGTTGAGGTGGCATTGGCTGTTGTTGATGTTGAGTTGGCTGTTGGTGAAGCTGTGCTGGCTGTTGTTGAAGTTGAATTATTTGCTGGCGTCGTCATGTTGGCTGTTGTTGAGGTGGTATTGGCTGTTGTTGACGTTGAGTTGGCTGTTGGTGAGGCTGTACTGGCTGTTGTTGAGGTGGTATTGGCTGTTGTTGAGTTGGCTGTTGGTGAGACTGTACTGGCTGTTGTTGAGGTGGAATTGGCTGTTGTTGATGTTGAATTGATCGTTGGCGTAGTCACGTTGGCGGTTGTTGAGGACGTATTAGCTGTTGTTGATGTTGAGTTGGCTGTTGGTGAGGCTGTGCTGGCTGTTGTTGAGGTTGAATTAATTATTTCCGTAGTCATGTTGGTTGTTGTTGAGGTCACATTAGTCGTAGCTGAAGTTGAGTTGGCTGACGATGTGGTTATGTTGGCGCTTGATGAGGTCACATTGGTTTGTAGCGTTGTGGCACTGGCTGGTTGGAGAAAATAAAAACGGGGAAAAAAGCAGTTCAATAATGTGGCAGCATTTTTGAGTGGTGTTGTAGAGATGTCAACTAATGGTGACAATGAGTTAACTGGTGGAGATGTGGAATGGTGACAAAACATATAGTTAGCCTGAAAGTTTGGTTACCTTCCAGCTAAACAGTAATGTCACTGGCTTTGTTCCATTTAAAACAACCGATCTCATACAGTGAAATAAAATTGCCTGGTCTTCTCACACAGGTCTTTTCTTATTGACATTAGCATATGACTGCTAATTTGAATGACTTGTTCCTACATATTATGCCTTTTCTTATTACCCTCCCACAGAGATTATTTACTGCTGATACTACAACTTTGTTAAAATATGTCAAATAAAATATGTTTTAACAATGTAAAAACAGTTTTAAGTCTTGATTGTAAAACAAATTTGGGAAGCTTTAATTATGCCAGCTAGGTTACATAACCACAGGTGACTCAAATTGTATCTAATAATAGATGCCCCACATTAAACTTTGATTTAATGTGTGTACAGACTAGGTATGTGTAATGTGTGATGTATTACTTATGTAATGTAGTCAGCTGACAGCCTGTTTATTTACTCATTTTGCCAACAAGTCAAATCCACACAGTCCTAATAGCTGAGATTTTTTAAAATTCTTTTGACAGTTATAAATAATGAATAACTTTTACTGTGACTTTCATGTTGTAAATGGCACACACAGTTCTGTCTGTTTTTGGTGGCTCATCCGTATCATTGGAACTAAACCGAAAACATTTCGAAACATGGGCCAATACAGCACCAGCAATACAGGACTTTGTATTTTCAGCTTGGCTGCCGTAGTGTTCTATCATTTTCCTGTATTGTAACTGGCCTTTGGTGACATTTGTTGTGGGATACAATACATACCATTAATCTTTTCTTCTGCTTTATCATAATAACAACAATAATATAATAATAACAAAAAGGAGCACATGACAAGGTCTTTCTTTACATCTAGATATTATTATAGCAGAGCTCAGTTCAATCATTGTCAGCTGTTTTAACCCATCAAACTACACAAAGGTATCTCTCCTGCTCCTCATCCTGGTAATAAAAGTGATATTATTATAATTAATACATTTTTTAAAAAAAGGGATTCCTTTGGTTTGCCCAAAACTGCTGAGTCCACCTGCTACCATCAATGACAAGCCAAATAAGATAACCCAATAAGTCGCCTATGCCACCTGATGAATACATTGCTTTTAGTGCAGATTGTTGTGCTTTGAAAAACCCGCTGAACTGAAGGCATGCATAGCCATGTCAAGTTCCTGGATTCTAAATCTTGACTATCTTACCTGTTGTCGTGTTAGTGGCTGTACTTGTTCCCACCAGTCCTGCAGCGGAAAAATGTGATCAATGAGCAATTTTGAGTGCTGTTTAATTCACAGTAATGATACATTTGTGAATATTTTAAATGTGTATAAATGAAGTCTGTCCTAATCTTTGTCTCATCTCTCTCTCTCTCTCTCTCTCTCTCTCTCTCTCTCACGCTCTCTTTTACTCACTGTTGCTCTCTCTCTCTTTGTCTCTGTCACTCACAGTCACACACACTCACACTCACACATACACACACACACACACACACACACACACACACAAACACACACAAACACACACAAAGAAAGTGAAGTATTCACTCCAATAAATACCTGCTAACAGGAGAAGGAATATGGCAGGATCCATCGTCCCTTTGTCTGGTTCCTGTAGAATATAACACACTATAAATACATTTTCCAATGCAAAACAAATACACACATTCACTGCAGTACAGTCAGATTTCACTGTACTGTTAACATGCATTTGATCATTTATATAACTTTTGGATATCTTGTATGCTACTTGGAAAGTGTAGTAAACTAAGGCAGCAATTACTCTGTACTCAGTGAAGCTTCACAACACCAAAACTACCCTAAGAGAGAAGCAGCACACGAAACTACACCAGTTTTGTAGTTTACTACATTAGTAGTACGACATTGTTAGTGATTTAGCATACAGTTTTTACATAATACACAAAATACTGTGTAAAAAATCCCTATTGAAATGAATGAGAATTTGGCCAGACAACTGCCACGACCAAGTCCCGTTTGTAACCCTGGAGCTCTAGCATATTTTACACAAGAAACTTCATTCGAAGGTTAAACAGATCACAAGGTTTAAAATGTTATTCCTCTAAATTTATATTGTGATATCTTTTATGGTGTTTATGCAGTGTAAGTTTTAGGAATTTTTGGAAAATCCAGAATTTTCAATACAGCTATCACACGACGTCACCCACTCTTCATTGTGTGCAGTTAACCTTGTGTCCTGTTCACAATTTCTACGGTACATGAACAATTTATTCACCTAGTGCAAGTCTCATTGGTGTAGGACTTAAGTTTTTTTCATAAATCACCTCAGAGCGCAGAGAGCACCAACCAAAACTCACATAGACCCCCATGAAAGCGAAGTTTCAAAATTTTGGGTGACAATCAGAAATGGAGGGTCTGTCTAACCTGCCATCAAATCTGTGTAATATGCAGTACATACATGAAAATACATCAGCTTGTTCAAAACAAGATTGTGCTTTACACGGTGACAGATTTGTTTGACATGATTTACAGATTTTGGGCTGTGACCGTTCTTCCGAGGGGCTAATGCTTCGTCTGCCTGTCTGCTCCTCTGATTACAAGCAACCAGTGACTCACTGCTGACTGAGACTGGTCTATACCTTTAAAGTAAAAGTTCAAAGATGTCAAAAGGTAATGATCAGGGTTCGTGAAGCATGCTG